TCATTCTTGTGACAGGGGCACAGAAGGACTTAATGGCCAGTTTGTGAGTTCTCTTTTCAAAGATCCCAAATGATCTCATTGGCAGTGCTTCTCAGAGACTCTCCCTTGTTTCTAAAATAATCGGACATGAAATGCATGGTTGGCACACTATAAAATGCAAACATTACAAATGACAGCAAACTTAAAAAAAACCAAAGTGCCAAGATCCACAGTTGGGCCACCAAAGCAGGTGTAGGCTTCTGGGATCTGAAGAACCGAAGTACATAATGCAGCTTTTAAAGAACGTGACAGACACAATGTTCATGTCCACAGACCCTAAAACAATTCCTTGTTAATCTGAAAACGTAGTCCATTCGAGTAAAGATCTACCGGTAGAGACTATAGATTAAAAATGCTATATTTTATCTTAAATAAAAGGGATTATGGGTATGATTTCCTAATGACACACAATAACAATGTCAAAGCTACGGTAAGTTTTATATGGGAGTTGTGGTGAGACAATTAGCTTTGATGGGTAAGTTTCACAACAAGTAGGGTTTATAAATTGTGCTATGTGACGTGGTTCACTATGATTATGACAACAAAGAGATAGTAGATTCTATATACATAATTTGATACTGCTGCTGAATGTTACAAAATCCATTAAAACACTATTACCTTTTGACTTGGTAAATAACAAAATTTTATAAGTCCTATAAATTTTGTTAGACTAAAGAAGTTGTTCTGGTCTTCCATAATGTTTGAAGGTATTAAATAAGCCATAAGAAATGTACTTTAACATGCTTTGGGGCCCAGCCTGGCCAAATTGTCAGTTTATCTCATTTCAAAGGAAATGTGGGCTTCTTCAATATTGTTCTTTTCTGACTCGTTGATTTTTCTTGTTATCATTCTCAATTCAAATAAAATCTTGTTCAACCTTCCCCATCACAACATAGTTTTACATAAAAATCATGGAATATATTATGTGTCTTTTTGTTATGTAACTGAGATCATAAACTGAGATAATGCTTACTGCCCTACCTGACAGATTTTATTCATAACATGTACTAGTGCAATCTGGTATTTGGATGCCTGGATATTTCCTTGATATTTATCACCAATACAAGGCAGTATTTAGCTAGAGAAACTAGAGTAAATATTATTAGCGTAAATGAATAAAACTTTTTCAAATGAATGAAAGCAGGAAACAAAAAGTTTGATGATATCCTGTAAAGATGGAGTTATACAAGACAAGACTGATGTTTATATTTTCAGGACTACAGTTTTATCTGTGGAAGGTAGTTCTTTTTTATTTTCAGTTATAATTACTCATCAGTGTGAAAGAATGATATAGAATTTTAGTTGTGGACATATTAGTTTTTTCTAGAGCATGCCTGAGGAACGCAAAATTTTATTAGGCATATGAAATGTTACAGTCTATACATAATCATCTCCAAAGAGTCCTGGTACTATTGGTGAAAAAATTAAAAGTACCATCAGTGACAAAATTTCATTTTAATGAAAGAGTAGTATTGGGGACAAAATTTACCTTAGACATACTTTGTCATAAATATTTCAACTTTATGATCTCCTGCATCATCTCCATATGAATGACCATCTCTTTTAGGTATTAGTGGCAAGAATTTTGGCAAATAATTTCACTTTGAGGCCCCAGATTAGGAAATATGTACAATGTCCATATGTGTTTTTAAATATGCCTCATGACCCCATTGGTGCATCATACTATTATTTTTTGAAGATAATATGGAATTCACTAAATTTGAATAAAAATATGCAAGACAAGACAGTGGCAAGGTAGTTTTCAGAGTTTTCACTCCACACATCCTTGTGCATACTGTGTGATAACGGAAGTGCCTTCCTTAATAGGAATTGCAGGCAAAAGAGTTTGACAACTCTTAGTCTATAGAATCACAAGTCTGTCCTATCTGTTAAATGAAGTCACCCTCTTTACCACTTTAAAAATTCTTAAAATAACTTTCAACTCTATTTTATATGGCTTATTGTTTAGTAGAGGATAGTAGTTAGCTAGAAAGACATTTAGTTGAAGTGATTACATTGTATTTATTCCTTCAATTAGTTGTAACCTTTAAAATCCATCACAATTTTTAAGACACCTTTTTGGGCTAAACTACTCTACTAAAAAGCATGAACAAAATGTTACCCATCAGTGATTTAGTGCATTGCCGGGTGTCATGGTGCATCCCTGTCATCTCAGCACTTGGAAAATTGAGGCCACAGGGTCACTCTCAAGTTTGAGGCCAGCCTGGACTATAAAAGTGAGATTTTTGTCAACAAACAAACCAAAAAATCCATCCAATTTAATGCAAATAATAAGTGTCTCTGGTATGTAACATATTGTGGTAAGAGGCTGGGAGACAGAAGAATGAATAAGCATGATCCTTGTATTCATTCAATTTATAATTTTTAAGAAAGCTTTGGGTGTGAAAACATCCTATCCTTAATCAAACAATAGAGTTTACGTGTGCACTGTTATGAATATTATCCTTAATATGAATAGCAGGCATTGTTTTAGCAACTTCTTTCATGCAACAAACATTTACTGTGAGCCAGGTGTTTTTTCAGGTTAGGTCCTGGAAGGCTGAAATGACAAGCTCTGTATTCTTAAAAAGCTTTTATGGTGGTTGAGGATACAGAAAATGAGCAAGTGGGCAAGAGAAATATCAAATAGTGGTGCTATGGTGAGGCTGGCGTCTCTATGATTTATACCTAGACATCCCTTCAGAGCCTCTCAGCTCCTAAGCAGGACTTTGGGGAGGTAATTGGTGGTGGTGAGGGTGTGATACGCATCATGAGTTTCTGCACTGATGAGTTTATAGCTCAGTGTGGTGCTGGGAGGCAGACCTGGTGGAAGATGGGGTTACTAAGTGTGGCTGGGAGGCTCTGTCTCCCTCCTCCTCCCTTGACCCCTCTCAGGGCTTCATGTCTGCCTCAGCACCAGCTGCTTCTCCTCTGCGATGCCTATCGGTTATGCTGCTGTGCCTTGGAGCCAGCCAAGTATGGACTGAAATCTCTACAAACAGTGAGCCAAACTAAACTTCTCTTCCTATAAGTTGTGGGTGTCCGTGTCTCTTGAGGGGAAAGTAACTGAGATGGGCATTGACGAGAGACTGTTTTTTTTTTGTTTTTGTTTTTGTTTTTTTTTTTTTTTGAGTCATCAGAAAAGGCCTCTCTACGTGTAGATATATTTAAAGTTGAAATATAGCAAAAGCAGGATGTCTCCTGGGGAGGAACAGCAGGCAGATGTCAAGCCCTAGAAGCCAGGAGCTCACAGTTTGGAGAGCTGGACCTGGGAGAGAGTTAGAAGAGAGAGGTGAATGACAACCAGACTGGGAGAGGCCTGTGGCCGCGGTGGTTATGTGCAACATGTCTTCATTGTCATGGGCCCCTTCCAGAGCAGTGAACAGGGGTTTCTGTGTTCTGATTCATTTTTAAGACCAGTACAGCCATAGGAATGAACCAAAGCTGGTGAGAAGACCATGGGTAGCCGCTGGATGTGGCTTAGAGTAGGTAGAAGGGGTGAAGGCAGAAAGAGGCAGGCAGACTTAGGGAACATTCCGGGGTGAAACCCGGGATCTGCTGACAGTGTGGTGCCAGCGGGAAAGCAGGGAGCCATGGCCACTCACAGTGTTAGCTTGGGCTGATGGAGAAGTATTCACCTCCTGTGAGGGGAAAGGGCAAAGGGTCCGAGCCGTGGGGCCGAAGTTGAGGCCTAGCGTGGGCGTCACAGAGGTCTGCCTGCCCGCGGAGGAAGCGTGTGTCAAGACAGACCTGGGCGAGGAGACAGCGGCTGGGAGCTGTGGGCACCAGCGCTGCAGACACAGCCCCGGCCGCTGGGAGAGGGCGCAACCCTCGAGCAGGGGTCATGCTATGGATTTGGACTGCGGCTCCAATAGGGGTTTTTATTTTACAGACACACTCAGCTTTTCTCCTGGGACAGCTAATTGTAGAAAGTCACCAGTTCTTAAGGACGGGACCCGGATCCAACCTGAGTCTCACTGAACCCCAGGCTCGCAGGCTCGGATGCCTTGGGAGAGTGTGTGGGTTTCTTTACAGAGCATTTTAAAAGTTTTGAATTTGATGTTCCTTTAAAAAGTTGTGTTTAGTCTCGAGAGAATGAAACTTATTCAGACTCTTAAGTCTAAAAATTCTCTAGTCTTTTATTTTCGCAAGACTTTCCTGTGGCAGATAGCACTAATACTTGCCTCTTTTTTCCTCCCTTAAAATTTTATTAGTATGTGTGCAGTAGGTGTGTTCACGCGCCTGGCGTGACACAACTGAGCCCGTTTTTTCCTTCCCTGCCCCCTCCTTCTCTCTCTGTGTCAACGCTTCTGAGAGGCTGGGCAGGGTGTAAGCCTGTATGTCCGGATTGTTCCACGCAGAGGACGCGGGTCTCAGCTGACCCCGGTGTGTCCTGAGGACCCCGGGAGCTTGTACAGATGGAGCAGGAGGCCGAGTCAGGCGGGCCGCGGGCAGGCCCCGTAGCTCCCGCAGACCTGGGTGGAGGACAAGCTGCAGCCTCCAAGCGCTGAGTCCGCGCTGTGGCCCGTCCCTCCGTCCGCAGCAGCTCAGCTTTGGGGTCCCAGGCTGGTGGTGCGGCGAGGTGGAGGCGCAGACGCCCGGGGCGACGCCGAAGAGGTCCTCGGCCGAGCCGGCCGCTGCACTCCGCCAGACCCAGCAAGACGGCGGCTTCGGTAGACTCGGACCTCGCAGATCACTGGGAGCGGCAGAAGACCGCTAGCCAGGTAAGGACCCTGCGGCACCGACTGGTGCCGGAAGCGGACAGCGACGGGGCGGACGCAGGGCGGAGTACCGTAGGCCCCGCCCCTACAGCGGGCCGGGTCTCCGGCCGCCTCCACCTTCAAACGCCGTCAGCCGGGCTCCCAGCAGCCCCGCCCCGCGGCTGCGTCCCCTTCCCATCCTCTCTGCTTAGCTCTGCGCACGTGCTCGGCGGACACTGACCCCGCCCACTTGGCCAATAAGAAGCGATTTCGTCACAGGCCCTGCCCACTTCACGCCACGTGATCACGCCGCCCCACCTCGCAGCGCGCCGCATTCAGGTTCCGGGAACATGGCGAAGGTCTCAGAGCTCTACGATGTCACTTGGGAAGGTAATGTCTGACAGGCGCGTGCGGAAGGACGGAGCCCTAGAAATGGCTTGAAAGGCCCAGAGCCCTCGGGCCTGGGCCCTGTTGGCTGTGTTCCGCCCTGGGCGCCTGCGAGCTGCCCAGGCTGGAGTGGAGCCGCGGCCCACCCGAACCCGGCCGAGTGTTGGCCGAACGCCGTTGCCTCGCCCGCAGGCCCAGCCTAGGCTAGAGGACGCGCCTGGCCCGCGCTGTTCCTTTTGCGGCTGCTCCCGACCGACCGCCCGGCCCAGTCGCTTCCGGAGGAGGAGACCCCTGCCTGGGCCGCGGGCTTGGAGGCGGAGCTGAGCCTGAGACGCAGAGCCTTGGGCGGCCTGAGCTGCCTGCGGGCCCCTCCGCACAGTGCCTCTGTTCCCGGGAGTACCGGTCCGGCCCTCGCAGCCAGTTTACCCGGCCTCCGGAGGCTCCTCTTGTGGGAGGGACCCGTGTCACCTAAGCGTCTTTTCCGTCTGTGCTTGATTCAGACGAAAGTATGTTCTTTAGATCTAGAAACAGCCAAACCTTGACCTGTTTTGCAGGAGAGACTTTTCTCTCCTCAAAAAGTTTTAGAAGAGAGTTCGTTTTCAGTGAAGCGTGTTCTTGAAATCTACATTCCCAGCATTCATCTTAGGGCCCTACAATTCAGTAGCTGATGTGTTCATTGGGTGCCTTGCTGGGCTGTTTATAAATAACAGCCTGATTCCAAGTGGACTGCAAGTTGTGTTAACAGTGTCTTCATGAATAAATCAAGTGTTCATATTGTTATAAACTTGCAGGCATAGAAAAGATAAAATTCCTTTGTACTTAAACTCAGTTCGATAGTATACTGGCTCTGTGGTCTCTAGCGCGCCACACATACAAGTGTTTCTACTTTTATTGGGGAATCCATTTTGTTAAAGTCTTAGGTGCTGAGTGCTAAGATCCATTCCTCACTGTCAAAGAGGTCGTGGCTTTTAGTAAGAGCGTATAACTCATAGTTTTAAAGTCTGTGTCAAGAGAGTGTCAATAGGTGGTTGTATTTTTTAAGTAAATCTCGCACCTTTTGAAAGTGGCATTACGAAAGTGAATGTTCAGTATACCCTTTTTAGGTGGTGGTTGCACAGATAGGTGTGTAACTGCCAGCATAGGTGATTTAATTAAGTAGTTTGTATCATACCCTGTGGTTGTTCTAAAGAGAATGAAGTCATTGGTTTGGAATAATAAAAACTACTTCCCAACTTTGTGGAGGAACAGAAGGGAGAACCTGTTGAAGTGCTAGGTGAAAGGTTAAAATCCTTGTACTGTGTGATCTGGCTCTTGCCCTCCTGAGTGGTGCCGCTGTACACTCCTGCTGGCTGTGCTGGCCTTTTAATTCACTAAACTGTGGTCTCAGGACCTGGTGTTCCTTCCCCTGGGGTCCTGTTTCCTTTTGCCTCACTCTGCCCCTATTAAAGTTTATGATTTCGTAGCGTTGACCTTCCCACCATTTATTCTCTAGCCCTTCACCAAAACATATTTTTTATTTTTTGCATTATAAAAATACTTATTTATTCAAATCCATTTTATTTCAAGGAAAAAGAAGGAAATAAACCTAAAAATTTTAAAACACATCAATCAGGGGGCAACAATGGTACATATATTGCGAATTGTCATCCCCAAATCACTTACCTGGAGCACAAAACATCTGCATTCCATTGTCTGAACAACCCAGCACAAATCTTTCTCTTCAGTGAGCTCAGATAAATCAGTAGTATAACTATCTCAACTAGTTTTTTATGTTTATATACATAAACATACACAAACACATGTTGTTTCTTTCAGCTTCTCATACTAGGATACAATGATGTTTCCACGTGTGCCTCTTATTTCACTTATGAGTGTGGTCTCAAGTTGCGTCCATTTACTTATAAAGGTCTCTAGTTTATCCTTTATGGCTGAGTAGTACTCCACTATATAAAAATACCACAACTTTTTTATCTGTTTTTCAGTGGATGAGCACTTCCGTTGTTTTCAAGATCTGGCTATTACAAATTGTACTGCTGTAAACATGGGTGCACATATATTGCTGTGGTATGATGTTTTTAATTCTTTTGGAAAGATATCCAGAAGGGGAACTTCCAATCCTAGTTTTCTGAGGAATCTCCACTCTGATTTCTACAGTGGTTGCAGCAGTCTGCATTCACATTAACAGTGGAGAAGGGTTTCTCTTTTCCCCGTAGGACCTCCAGCATTTGTTATTGCTTGATTTCTTGATAGTAGCCATATTCTGGGGTGAGGTATAATCTCAACATTCTTTTAATTTGAAGCTCTTGAATGACCAGTGATACTGAACATTTTTTCACATAATGATTCGCTGTTTCTATTTCTTCATATGAGAAATGTATATTTATTTGAGATGCTCATTTTTGGATTGTGTCTTTAAATCTGGGAGGACTATTTTTGAGTTCTCTATATGTTCTGGATAGTAATCCTTTGTCTGAGGTACAGCTGGCAAACATTTTTTCCGGTTATGGATTGTCTCTTCACTCTGTTACTGGTTTCTCTTGTTTTGCAAAGCTTTCCAGTAGGGTGAGATCCCACTTGGTGATTCTTTGTGAGAGTTCCTGCACAATCAGGGTTTTGTTCCAAAAGCTTTTGCCTAGTGCCTTCAAGAGTTTTACTCATTTTGCAGCAGATTTAATGTTTCTGTTTTAGTATTAACATCTGTGATTCATTCCGATTTTAGCTTACGGTATGAGTTTCACCGAAATTTAAAAAGAAAGAAAAGAATTTTAAAAAAATCCAAGCAACAAAATCAACACCAACCCCTGGATTCTGTGTTCCCATACTGAAGCACTGTGCAATCCTTTTGTAAAATTTTGTCTCTTAGAATGACAGGGAAGAGGCTAGTTTTGTTCCCATCACACCACAGGTGCCTGACGCACAGGACAGACTAAGTGAATTGTTAATGAAATTCATAGTAAACATTAGCAGGTTGTTATAAAAAGCTTACAAGTCTGAATCATTTTTCTAGTTTTAGTTTTGAAATATTTTTTCAGTCACATAGATGAACTTAGATAACTAATAGAACAGTTTGGTTATTTGTAAAATATGTAGATTTTCTAGAATCCAAATTCTATTGTAAGAGATTATTCTTGAATCACTTTCCACTGTAGGATGAAGACACTAGATGATCTAGCTGGTGTTGCATTTAGGTTTGGGAAGAGCAGTGTCAGAGCTGTGCCCTTAAGGATTCCACTGAATAAAGTCATGAATTAGTTATTTCAATGAATGCTATAATTCTTGTGATAGGAAAATTCATCACCTGTTTACAAGAGTCCTTTGTAGTAAGTCTGGTACACTAAGTCTCTGACATGCTCTACAGAAGAAGTAAACTCTATAATTTTTTATTCAGCCAGTTGGAAAGTCTCTATCAAATTCCTAAGAGAATTTAGAGTTGTAAAGAGAGTAATCAGGTTTTTCAAAATATGTATTTAGGCAGAATATGGGTAGGACACCTAGCACAATGCTAGATATAATGGGCACTATTTTTTTAATTAACATAATATTTGGGAGAATTTTGTATTTGCTTACTGGCCCTGCTTACTTTTTTTATTTTTGAAGCAGCCACAACTTGGTTACTGTGTCCTACCCCTCCTTTAAGATGTCCAGAAAAGCCTAATGCCAATGCTTGGGTTTTGTACATCTGACTAATTTGTTATTGTAGGTTACTACCTCTAAGAAAAGTTCTTTTCCTTAGTTTCTTAATCTCATTCTTTCAGGTTCTTGTCTCTCTTTGCTTAGTTCTCTAAATCCATTTGTTCTTTATATTTTTTATAATTCTTTTGTATAATTTCCTTATCTCTCTTCTTAATATATTATCAGTGGTTTTAAATCTGAGACCTAGTAGTTTTCTGACTTATGCAGTCATAAATGTTACGTGCTCTTGTGAAATTTTGTGCAAACTTTACTACATGTTCAAAGTGTCTGTGTTGGGGAAAAGATCCACATATCTCAGCAGCTTCCAATAAATCTAGAAGTTAAGAATCTTTTAAAGTTTATCCACATCCACATTTCAGCATTGGCCTGTATGCTAAATAGCATGCTAATGAAATGTATAGTTGAGTACGTTGCACTAGTTACTATTGCAGTTCTTGATAGAGTGTTGAACGTGGCAGGCATGGTATCCCATATGTATTTCCTGGAACAGACCCTGAGAGTTGAGTACCCAATTGGAGGTCCTTATTTACAGTTTTCTTCAGGACACATCTCCTGGAGGTTCCAAGAAAAACTCCAGACTGAACTCTTCATTGTCCTTTTGCCTACTGCCTCAAACACACCACAGGTACCACTTGTTCCTTTTTATACCCGAGACCCATGATGGCGAACCTCTTAGAGCTTTCAGCGGTACAAACTGCGGCATGTGTGCCATAGGCTCACCACCACTGTCCTAAATTGATGACATCTTTTATTTCTCTCTGCTCATAAGACATCTGCATACTCTGTAACATACTTACTTGTTCTTATAAATTATGCTTAAAAATGTGCAGTAATGCCCCAGTTCACGAATACTTCTGTTTGCAAACAATTGAATTTACAAACAACACTATTGGACACAAATTTGCCTCTGTTCACAACCTCTGCATCAACTGATAAACACAAACACAGCCATCTTTCCCAAAAGTGTAAAACAAATGAAGTTCATAGACCTAGGCACCAGTATATTCTCTTTCTTAAAACAGTGTATATCCATAATCCAGTGGGAAATGCATGTTTTACAGATTAACTCACACTCATGTATTCATATAACTATATGAGTGTTAAAGTGTATAGTAAATTAAAACCAGAATTTCACTTTATTTTTTAAAAATTTAAAGAGAAAAAAATGCAAAACAAAAAAAGGGTAGAAATAATACGTAATTTCAAATAAAAAGTAATAAATCACTAGTTGATGAATTACATATTGTCCTCTTAGAAATAGTTGTTGAAGTTACAAAATATGAAGCATATAAAGTGGCCGTTAAAGCAAT